CCCATAAAAAATAATATAATCATAAGGATGAAATGGCAATGCATACATACAGTTCTTCCTGGTAATAATGTCATGTTTATCTCAGGACGCATTTCTGCTATACAAAATTCTCTGGTTATAATGCCATCCAGGTTATGATACCACCCAGGTTATGATGCCACCCAGGTTATGATGCCACCCAGGTTATGATGCCACCCAGGTTATAATGCCACCCAGATTATGATGCCACCCAGGTTATGATGCCACCCAGCTTCAATGCCATCCAGATTATAATGCCACCCAGGTTATGATGCCACCCAGGTTATAATGCCACCCAGGTTATGATGCCACCCAGGTTATGATGCCACCCTGGTTATGATGCCACCCACGTTATGATGCCACCCAGGTTATGATGACACCAAGGTTATGATGCCAACCAGGTTATGATGCCACCCAGGTTATGATGACACCAAGGTTATGATGCCACCCAGGTTATGATGCCACCCAGGTTATGATGCCACCAAGGTTATGATGCCAACCAGGTTATGATGCCACCCAGGTTATGATGCCACCCAGCTTTAATGCCACCCAGGTTATGATGCCACCCAGGTTATAATGCCACCCAGGTTAGGATGCCTCCCAGGTTAGGATGCCACCCAGGTTAGGATGCCACCAAGCTTATGATGCCACCCACTCTTTAGTTTTGACAACAAATTGGTAATGTAGTTGATCTTTTAGGAGATAATTCCCTTTTCTAAATCAAGACACTAATTGCATTGATCTGAGTTGTTTTCACCGATAATCCTCACACAGAGAGTCTTATCCCTGAATAGTTGTCACATGTTAAGATTCATGTCCTGCCTCCTACAACCCTTGATGCTTTTATCACCTAGTCATTTAAGTCCCAATACCCTGAACTCCAGCTTAATCATTTGATAGACTGTCTTGACAATAAACTACCCCCAATGTAGATGTTGTATTGCCTACACTCTACACAGAGACCATATACCAAAAGACTGGTCTCATCAACCCCCTAATCTTTATAGGGAATGCAGTCAGGTGTACTGATTGGATAGACAATAGACAAGGTGGCGTGGGTCATGTCAAAACTTTTATTTCCATTGTACATTTTAGACATTTCATTTTTATATAAATTGTCATATAGATATTTGTATCTTATATTAGATAACTTCTTGTACATCTCCTGGACATCATATAGATTTCTACACAATAAATCATTCATATGTACATCACACAACAAATTACAGTCCAACTAGATGGGAAATAAAGTCAGCACACTGGATGGCAGTCTTCGTTCCAGTCATCAGGTCTTCCTTCTCTCCGTGGCTGATCACAATTTTGCTGTCCATCTGCTCTTCTTTCAAAATGTCCACAAACCTACATAAGTTTGAGTGAGAATGTCCAATTTTATTCGACCTTCCGTGCCACCTTTCAACATGGTTTGTGGTTCGAGAGCCTGCTGTTTCAAAATGGTTCCACACATTTCTTCTGGGCCTGTCAACCCACTGCTCAGTAACGTAGTCAGTGAAAGCCAGCACTGCAACAACGGTATAGTCCGTTTCTTCAAGGGCATGAACCCAAGCATTGTCAATATCAGTAGGCCAAATGTTCTAAGTTACTACTGATTGCAAATATCAACATCTAGTCATCGGAATGCTGGAGGAAATCATCATCACTTGAAGTCTGTGAAGGACAGGGAAGATGGGTCTCAGATCGGTGACGTAGTAAGGGCAGCAGGCTCTGGAACGGTAGAGGCTGGCCTGGATACTGTCTCTGCAACTTCGAAAACTTCACTTGCTCAAAGGCCTACAAAATTCAAGACACCCTCAATATAAAACATAGTTTGATATTGTAATTCCATTGTCACGCATACATATTTATAATTACAAAAGATTTCATTTCCCAAGCAAAATATCAAACCAGTTATCCAAACTGTACATCATAATTACATTGTTCTAATTTATCTGACAACTCTTCATCATATAGTGTTGTGATAGGTCTGCTGTCACTCTTCACTTTATCCTTCACACCCACCAGGAAAATCATTGGTTAACGTCTGGAGTCATAATTCTAAAGGTGATGTATGGTCCTACATTGTTAGTCAAGGGTGCAACATGTACGGCTAACCAGAAGTGATGTCACAGGAGACCTCAGAACCGGAGGTTACGTCAAAAGTAACTTCACCAAAAGCAGAGGTGAATGACAGCATCATATGAACTGATGTCAAGATTTAAGATGATATTGAATTCTTTTTATTGTTGGAATGAGCCCAACATGTACAATCAACCAAAAGTGGTATCAAAAAGGACCTCAGATCCAGAAGTTAAATCAGAAGTAACATCATCAGAAAGGTAGTGACGTCATCAGTTAATGAGGTCATAGAACCAAAAATGACGTCATAAATGTCCCAAACCGGGAATGAGTATGAGGAGAAATCAGAACATGAGGCATTATACTTCTGACTATCCTACATTCCTACTTTACACCTGCCATTAACTGTCTGGGATTAGAAGATGTCTGAGTCCCCGGTCCCTCTGGTGAATACGTCCATGATGAAGTAGAGATAGGGTATACGATGGAATACAATAGTTATATCATTGTGTATAATTCCCTCCCACCTCCCCAATTTATCTGCCTCTAGGACGAAGAAGGTTATCGGAAAGAGAGGAGATTTTCCACCTCATGCATGCACAGTTACAAGAAGCCTGAGGATAGGGTTTACCTCAAATGAGTCAGGGATAGCTGGCAGTGAAGAGGACGTCTGTTGATAATCTAAAAGCTTTCATAGTGTGATTTCAGCCAACATGGAAATTTATGGCTATGACATAACAGAAGTAGTATTCTTAGAATTATACACCATGATAGCTATTGTTTGATTTCTCACAGGTTACTGAGATCATGGCTGATGATGATTTTTGCAGTAGATCAGGCAGTTACAAAAGTTGCCATAGTTGCAACTGCTTGTGATAACATCTTTGTTCTTGGCAATCTAAGACCACCATGTAATCAACAACAGTCCCAACACTGCTCATCCAGCAACAGCAGATGTGGTGTTGCATAATGGATATAGAACATTGCTTAGTTACATAAAAAGGAACATTCTAATGTGTGTATTTACACACAGGAAATTTTTATTTTCATTCTGTGAGCTGACTATGTTGTCTATTTCATGGAAGTTAGATCACACTCAAGTGAGATATGTTTGTGAGAAAACAAGAGTCTATAATTCAGTTGAACTGCTAATACCCTTGTTAAGTCATGGTATTCTAAGTTTTCATTCCTGGTGTTGTCTGTTTCTGATAATTACTATACTGAGAGGCACAAATAACGCATACTCAAATTTAAGTTTCAATAATTTTTTACTGAAATGAAATATACAAATGACAATCAATACAAATGACTAATTAAAGATTACACTGATGAATTTCATGAACAGTTACTGTGTGACAAAGAATTAAAGTCTATGAAAATGACGTCAAAGGCGAGTGGTGTCAATAACGAGTGTGTCCTCCTTGTGCAGCAATGCACGCTTGAAGTCGGCGAGGCATTGAGAGACACAGTCGACGAATTGCAGCCTGAGGATAACGTCTCCAATGATGCAGAAGAGCTTGAGTCAGTTGTGGAACCGTCTGTGGAGGATTTTGTTGACGTCGGACACGGCGGCCAAGTTCATCCCTAAAATGTTCTATAGGGTTCAAATCTGGGGACCTTGAAGGCCCGTCCAACACATTAACGTTGTTCTGTTGCAAGAAGGCATCTGTTATCCTGGCAGTGTGAGGCCTTGCATTGTCATGTTGAAAGACATGGCGACGTAAACCACGTCAGTAATGGCAGCAGAACAGGCTGAAGAACGTTGTCGATGTAACATCTGGCATTAAGGTTCCCCTGAATAACAACAAGATCCGAGCGGAAATTTGCATTGATTGCTACCCAAACCATAACACCTCCACCTCCAAACCGATCACGTTCAATAAGACATGGTTGTGTAAATCGTTCATGTTGGCGTCGGTATACACGTAAACGTCCATCAGGCTAGCTGACTGTGAAACGTGATTCATCAAAAAAAAAAACTTGTCTCCAATCTCTACCACCGAGATTACCTCCACCAGCTGCACATCGCTGCCGTGCTAGCCTGTGTGCCTGAGTCAAGATTTGTCCACGGTAGTGTCGTCGACACCTCAAATTTCTGGCAGCAAGACGACAACGCACTGTACGGTCACTGATGTGTCTTCCACGGAGACCAATGGTTGCATTTGCCGTTGACCTGGCAGACGTTAAGCAATTTCTGAGGTGGCTGTTAACGATTTGACGATCTTGTCTCTGTGACATCACAGGCGGTGCACCTGGTCGAGGACGGTCCCTTACGCTGCCTGTGGTTCTCAACCGCTCATGTAATCTCGATATTGTCGTTTGATGGCAATGGAAATGAGCAGCAACTTGTTCTTGGGTACGACCAGCATTCAACATCCCCATTGCTTCATTACACTGATCTTGCGTTAACCGTGGCATTGTGTAGGCAAGTGATGGCAAAATGTCATGGTGTGCATTTATAGGCCTCCCTTTGAGGTTTGCACGTGCATCATGCCTTTCACAAAATGTGCATCGATAGCAGCATTCCCAGTGGTGTGTTGCGTTTTGCTGACTGGCTTCGTTTCCAGAAACAGTTTTTGTTTGCAACCCATATGACATGTTTACAGTAATAACCAACAATGGACAGTGTCAACAAGGTCAAAATGTAAACGGACCTCATATGATCTTAACAAATTATTCTTAAAATTGAGTATGCGTTTCTAATGCCTCTCAGTATATATTGTTTTTAAATGTCAAAGCTAGTTGCATTAATTTAATGATGCATTGTAGGCAATGGACTGACACTTCCATGAATTTAGTGACACAGTAATGTCATTAATGATTAACAGTGTGTTATTGGTTGTCCTTTGACAAGCTTCCATGTCCTACCACTCTCCTGCTGCTCATCATGATGCCATTGTACTGTTCAGACTCTGACTTGGAGGATGATGGCTACACCTGCATGGAGCTGCCCACCCTCATCAAGCAGCTCAAATCTGTGCTGGACCAGTATCCTGATGATGGGCAGATACTTAAGGTGAGTCCGTGCTGGACCAGTACCCGATGATGGGCAGATACTTAAGGTGAGTCCGTGCTGGACCAGTACCCGATGATGGGCAGATACTTAAGGTGAGTCCGCGCTGGACCAGTACCCCGATGATGGGCAGATACTTAAGGTGAGTCCGTGCTGGACCAGTACCCCGATGATGGGCAGATACTTAAGGTGAGTCCGTGCTGGACCAGTACCCCGATGATTGGCAGAAACTTAAGGTGAGTCCGTGCTGGACCAGTACCCGATGATGGGCAAATACTTAAGGTGAGTCCGTGCTGGACCAGTACCCCGATGATTGGCAGAAACTTAAGGTGAGTCTGTGCAGGACCAGTACCCCGATGATTGGCAGATACTTAAGGTGAGTCCATGCTGGACCAGTACCCCGATGATGAGTCCATGATTGTATTGAGATGTTGGCAATTCTTGACACATTTAGCCTAATATTAAACATATTCTAAAACATGGTTGTAATAAAAATACTTTGAATGATGTGGTCTTACATACCCTTTGTTAAGGATGTGACAATGGTGATATGATAACTACAAATAAACTGGAACAGGTTGATGGACAAATTTTAATGGAATCATCTCAAATATACAGACATGTCTACTGACAGTTCCAATGTTATGGCCAGTGTTTAAATTCACATGCCTTTAGCTTTTCTATTCACCAGGAGCTGATCCAGAATGCTGAAGATGCCGATGCCAGTGAGATGCGAATCCTGTATGATGCACGAGATATCAAGCCTCAAGTTGATCCAAAGAGGCAGTACCTGGCATCTTTACAGGTTCCTATTTACCTTTTTCTAAACCCACATGTGTCACCCAGTTGCCTGCACACCTGAACTGAATGATCAAGTGATCTTATGTTGTTAATGGCTTGTGTTTATATATCAGAACAACAGCTTTTAAAACACACACATTGACATAAAACACATGCTAACACACTGTGTCATGGCCATGTTACGTATTGATGGCTTGAGAGTTACCTCCCTTACTGTACGCATATAGGCATGACATCACTGTGAGCGTCGTCTGATGGCGTTCTAGAAGCTGAGAAGTAAATTCAATGACCAACCACTTCTAGTTGTCATAAGTTTGTAGTGATGAAGTCAAGTAGCATCAAACACTTAACAGGCCACACAGATATCAGTCACAAAAATGGGCAATCTGTCTCCTATCGCGCAATGCCGACTTGTCTGCACCTCAAAACGGAGGTTGACAATGAGGTTGTGCCAGCAGGCTCATTTCCACCAGTATATCATCATGTTAATGTGAACATAATTACAAATGTTCTAGGTACATGCAATTTGTAAATAGTACTGTCATAGTAAACTACTTTGGCAGCCTTAGACAGTGAAGAGAACGGAAGTAGGCCATGTCAAAGTTCAGGGTGGAGACATAGTTATTCTGAATATATTTTACTGTGACTGGCGAGTTATTTCAAACCAACTGGTACATAATTACAACTTCAAAATAACTACAACATTGTGATTTAATAAGTTATTTGAGAAATGAATTAGTTCAGTGTTTTTTGTCACTATTGCTATAACCTCTCACCACTACAATGGAAGATGTCTTGTTGATTTCAAAGAAATGACTGTTGAGACTAAGCAGTGCAAGTATGCAACAACATGTGATTAAATTCAATATATATCTATTGAGGGATATTTCATCAATTCTGTTTGAAAAAGTTAGATTACTTCAAATTTGAAAACACAGAATGTTTATCTCCTAACTCAAAGCATTTACAGGAACCCAGATGTATCTATTGTGGATGTGGACCTAATGTCGCAAACATACATGTCACCTAAAATTGTTCTCCTCTGCATTTTAGATTGAGGGACATGTTTCCTCACTCATAAGTGTCAAGTATCACTTTGCAATAGTCACACACACTACCCAGTATCAAATGCTTTGCCCTGTGTGTACAACAATGCCTTGTTCACAAGTAATGTACTGAGCTATGTTTCAGGCCCCAGCCCTCTGTTTGTACAACAATGCCTTGTTCACAAGTAATGTACTGAGCTATGTTTCAGGCCCCAGCCCTGTGTGTGTACAACAATGCCTTGTTCACAAGTAATGTACTGAGCTATGTTTCAGGCCCCAGCCCTGTGTGTGTACAACAATGCCTTGTTCACAAGTGATGTACTGAGCTATGTTTCAGGCCCCAGCCCTCTGTTTGTACAACAATGCCTTGTTCACAAGTGATGTACTGAGCTATGTTTCAGGCCCCAGCCCTGTGTGTGTACAACAATGCCTTGTTCACAAGTAATGTACTGAGCTATGTTTCAGGCCCCAGCCCTCTGTTTGTACAACAATGCCTTGTTCACAAGTAATGTACTGAGCTATGTTTCAGGCCCCAGCCCTCTGTTTGTACAACAATGCCTTGTTCACAAGTAATGTACTGAGCTATGTTTCAGGCCCCAGCCCTGTGTGTGTACAACAATGCCTTGTTCACAAGTGATGTACTGAGCTATGTTTCAGGCCCCAGCCCTGTGTGTACAACAATGCCTTGTTCACAAGTAATGTACTGAGCTATGTTTCAGGCCCAAGCCCTGTGTGTGTACAACAATGCCTTGTTCACAAGTGATGTACTGAGCTATGTTTCAGGCCCCAGCCCTGTGTGTGTACAACAATGCCTTGTTCACAAGTGATGTACTGAGCTATGTTTCAGGCCCCAGCCCTGTGTGTGTACAACAATGCCTTGTTCACAAGTAATGTACTGAGCTATGTTTCAGGCCCCAGCCCTCTGTTTGTACAACAATGCCTTGTTCACAAGTAATGTACTGAGCTATGTTTCAGGCCCCAGCGCTCTGTTTGTACAACAATGCCTTGTTCACAAGTAATGTACTGAGCTATGTTTCAGGCCCCAGCCCTGTGTGTGTACAACAATGCCTTGTTCACAAGTAATGTACTGAGCTATGTTTCAGGCCCCAGCCCTGTGTGTGTACAACAATGCCTTGTTCACAAGTAATGTACTGAGCTATGTTTCAGGCCCCAGCCCTGTGTGTGTACAACAATGCCTTGTTCACAGAAAAGGACTGGGTTGGAATCAAGATGCTACACAAGAGCATAAAGGAGGAGGACCCACTCAAAGTTGGTCGCTTCGGTCTGGGGTTTAAGTCAGTGTTCCATATAACAGGTGAATCTGAAAAAGCTTATTGTATTGTTGTAATATATACAGGGGACTATTCCTTGTAACTTTGCACAGATGATAAGGATGATGAGTATTTTCAGAGAACATATTGACAAGGGAATGGTAACTTTGCACAGATGATAAGGATGATGAGTATTTTCAGAGAACATATTGACAAGGGAATGGTAACTTTGCACAGATGATAAGGATGATGAGTATTTTCAGAGAACATATTGACAAGGGAATGGTAACTTTGCACAGATGATAAGGATGATGAGTATTTTCAGAGAACATATTGACAAGGGAATGGTAACTTTGCACAGATGATAAGGTTGATGAGTATTTTCAGAGAACATATTGACAAGGGAATGGTAACTTTGCACAGATGATAAGGATGATGAGTATTTTCAGAGAACATATTGACAAGGGAATGGTAACTTTGCACAGATGATAAGGATGATGAGTATTTTCAGAGAACATATTGACAAGGGAATGGTAACTTTGCACAGATGATAAGGATGATGAGTATTTTCAGAGAACATATTGACAAGGGAATGGTTACTTTGCACAGATGATAAGGATAATGAGTATTTTCAGAGAACATATTGACAAGGGAATGGTAACTTTGCACAGATGATAAGGATGATGAGTATTTTCAGAGAACATATTGACAAGGGAATGGTAACTTTGCACAGATGATAAGGATGATGAGTATTTTCAGAGAACATATTGACAAGGGAATGGTAACTTTGCACAGATGATAAGGATGATGAGTATTTTCAGAGAACATATTGACAAGGGAATGGTAACTTTGCACAGATGATAAGGATGATGAGTATTTTCAGAGAACATATTGACAAGGGAATGATAACTTTGCACAGATGATAAGGATGATGAGTATTTTCAGAGAACATATTGACAAGGGAATGGTTACTTTGCTCAGATGATAAGGATAATGAGTATTTTCAAGCATGTTTGAGGCACTATGATTAGCATTCAGTCTTCAGCCACAGTTAGCAATTTTACTATTGTTGCACAGGGAGCAGGAAAATTACATACCCACCTTCAGCAGGGGGCTGTCCTTTACCATAGGATCTGAAGTCCCAACAAAAGACATATTCTGATTGAAAGCATCACATGCTTTACATTATTGTTTTACATAAATTGGATGGTTATTACTCTGAGGTATCACTGATTGAAAATTACTGTTTCTTATGAAAGTACGGCTTATTGAAAATGTCGTCAGCTTTGTGCAACATGCAGAGGTCAGGCCAAAGCTATAAGACTGTGGATGTAGTTATGTAAAAAGCATGTTGAAAATATGGTTAACCAAGACAATATGCTGAAGTTTGCATATATAGAGCACAAACCTGGATTTTGAGAGAATTTGATATTTTAACTTTCAAAGAATTCAAAGAATTGGCTATGATCCAACCCATCACAAAACATACTTCCAACTTTCAGTCAAGCAAATAGTGCTGCAAAGTCATCTGGACAGAAATGAAAAGTAGCATGGGTTCTTCCAGAATTGATCTTTGAGTGTTTTTTCATAATTTCATTATTAATAACAGCTTACTCCTCAATAACTATGAGGACAGCCTTTGATCCTTAGAACTCTGAGTTAGTTGCAAAATGTGAACAAACTGTTTGGTCACATAATTTTTAAGATGTTCAAAGAAAACCGATTGCTGAAACTGCCATCCCGATCTTGGTCAAAATTGCAGCGCAGATAGGTCTATACTAGGTCATGCTAGTTGCGTTATAATCCCCCCCAAAAGGTAATGAAACCCTGGATTATAACATCAATAAATAGGGTTATAGCTTAAAAGGCACATCAGCAAAATGGCACATCAGCAAAACGGCACCGAGCGAAAATGGCACCGATTGGTGAAAACGTCACCTCGCTTAAAGTGATAACAGCTACTATTGCCTGGCGAAAATGGCACCTTATTATTTTTTTTACCTTGGTACTGAAATACATGAAATTAAACTCACATGGTCACTTGCAAACACAAATAATGGTTAAAAAAAGTTTACATTAGAAACTAGCCTCTACTTGCCGACTCTGATTTGGAGGAGCAACTAAACTTATTGTGACAACATTACTTGCTTTGAAGTAAAATAAATGAAATCAAACTCACGTGGTCAATTGCAAACGCAAATAATTGTGAAATGTTAATTGCCTTAAAACAAGTTAGACTTAGAAATTAGCCTCTACTCAAATTTACTTACCGACTCTGATTGGGAGGCGCAACTAAACTTATGGATTAAACATCACATGCTTTGAAGTTTAAGTACCTTTACCCAAATTAACTCAATGTCAAGCTGAAACTGAGTCTGGCGGATATGTCATGACATTGGGCTACAGGTATACTATATATTTAATATTTATTTTAGTAAGTAGGAAATAAAATGAAATTTTATAGATATTTCATATATCATTAAAAGGTTCCTTGCTGAAACTACGATTCCAATCGTGGTCAAAACTAATCTGTATATGGACCTGCCCAAGGTCGTGCCAATAATAATGTAAGCCCTAATTATTGCATCACTAAAGTACAGTGATGAGTTAGACATTGTAACATGTATATTGTTTAAAGTGACATTTCTTGCTGAAACTTCCATTCCGATCATGGTCAAAATTACAATGTACATGGTACTGCCCAAGGTCGTGCTTCGTCTTAAATTGTGTTATAGTTCCTCAAAAAAAGATAATGTAACCCTCGATTATAGCATCACTAAATTACAGAGACGATTTAGACATTGTAACGTGTATATTGTTTAAAGTGACATTTCTTGCTGAAACTTCCATTCCAATCATGGTCAAAATTAAAATGTCTATGGACCTGCCCAAGGTTGTGCCAATAATAATGTAAGCCCTAATTATTGCATCACTAAAGTACAGAGACGATTTAGACATTGTCACATGTATATTGTTTAAAGTGACATTTTTTGCTGAAACTTCCATGATTTTATCCCCAAAAATATGTTGAGCCGAAAATGTTTGAAAAGAATTATGCTTCAGTTTGTTACAAGAAAGAAATTGTCTGATCGTTCTAAGATGCTTTAAAAGAAAAAATATATAGGTGAGCTTGGCAAAGCAAAATCCTTCATTTTGAGTACGCATTTAGAAATCTTTTGAAACATTATTAAAGTAAGATCATTTGATTATTAAGATCTTGATTTGATTAATTAATGACATCTCAGTGAAAGCTTTTATCTCAGTATAAGTTAACCCTGTATAACAATTAATTTTGTAATTATAATGATTGTTATTCATTTTTTGTGCTTTTATCGAAGGATAACAGTTATAAATATGGTATAAAATCATTACACTAAACAATTTTATGCAATTTGTGACTGTTATCCTTCAATAAGTATACAAATTTACGAGGGTTGGTAAAAAAGTTAGAATGTGAGTGAGTGAGTATGGTTTTACGCCGTTTTTAGCAATATTCCAGCAATATCACGACGGGGGACACCAGAAACGGGCTTCACACATTGTACCCATGTCGGGAATCGAACCCGGGTCTTCGGCCTGACGAGCGAACGCTTTAACCACTAGGCTACCCGACCGCCCCTAAAAAAGTTAGAAGCCTGACTAACTTTAAACTATTGATGATACCAAAGTGAACCGGTAAATGTAGTACATTGTTTGAGGAGTTCATAGAAAGTGTATTTTTCTTCTGTTGAGGCCGTTTGTATGTTAGTGACAGCCAGTTGAACATGATAGGGGTCTAAATGGACACAGGAAAAGAGCAAGTACTGAGCCGTCATCAAGTTTTTAACTTAAGAGAAAAGTACTCCCCCAGAAATCCATGACACAAGTGTATTTGGATAAGTGCCCTAGCTATTCCACTGTTAAACATTGGGGCAGCTATGTTTAAGGCTGGGAGAACAAGCCAACTTCATTCAAAGAAGATTCAATCAAGGAGATAGAAAACTTTATCTTGTAAGATAGACGTATTACCATTGCTGAACTTAAGGAAGACACAGGTCTAAGCCAAGGATACACTGAAATTATTATTCATGAACATTTACAGATGAATAAGATATCTGCTCATTGGGTGCCAAAGTTTCTAAATTTGGATCTTAAGGAAAAAAGAACTGACATTGCCAGAGAAAACCGAGAGCTAATTGAGGAGGATTTCGTCATATTCAAAAAGGGATGATGAAACATAGGGCTACCACTATGATCCCCAGTCAAAATGACAATCCATGGAATGGCACCATTCCACTTCTCCAGCACCAAAGAAATTCAAGTCTTCAAATAAGTGAAGAAAGTTATGGCCACTGTATTTAGGGCTGCAAAGAATGTGATCCTTGTTGATTACCTAGAATGTCAAAAGACGATTACCAGTGCCATCTATACTGATTTGCTTCATCACCTGAGAGATTCTATCAAAGAAAAGTGGCAAGGAATGCTGACTCCTGGAGTTCTTCTGCCTCTTCTCAAACCTCTCGACTTGCAAAGGCTGCTGTTTGACAATGTGGGTTTGAAGAGCTTCCTCACCCTCCATACTCGCCAGACCTGCCACCAAGTGATTTCCACCTGTTTCCTAAACTGAAAGAACACCTTCGTGGAAAGCGCTATGACGACGACAACAATGACATCAAAGCTGCTGTAAATGGGTTTTTCATGGTGGCTTCAGAGACTTCATCCTGACTGAAATTGAAAAGCTTCACTATCAATATGAGAAGTGTATTGAAAAGCAGGGAGATTATGTTGAAAATTAAATTTAAAACATTTTCACAATTGTTGGTTTTGTTTGTAAGGCTTAGTACTCTTTGACCAGCCCTCGTAAAAAGACAAAAGCATTCCTTTCATCAATCCTGACACCACAATTTGTAAACATTTTATCTACATGGGCTACAGAGTTAGGGGACAATTTTTACAACCATATATCACAAACGTTCACATTCATATTGACGATGAAGTGTATATCCTCACTCTCAGGTTAGGAATCAGACTAATATGTTAATACAGCAACAATACGTTTCTTCTT